TTTTTTTGTAAAATGTATCATCTAACACCAAATAAAACATTTAAAAAATCACTAGAGAAAGATCAGAGTTCAGCTTCTGAAAATGTGATATCTAAGAACAACACAGTTGATCGGGTAGATACGTTTGATTAGTTGATTAACTGGTTCTATTCCACCCTTTAAAATAGATAAATACTGCACACATTATGATGAGTGTTATTTTCAGGAGAGCGTGGCCTGGCGGGCATGGTTCAACATTTACCCGCAGACTGTGTCTCCCTCATGTGGTCCATGAGGTGAACAGCGTGATAAGGCACATTAGGCACATTAGACCCGCGGGCAAACACACACACACACACAGCTCACCCCTGACACACATCAGCCACCTATCATTTAGAAGCACAACCATGTGGCCAAACCCATGATCCACCAACCACTGGATTCCCCGTCCGAGCCCAAAACCAAGATCTTTCTGAGTTAATAACCCCACGGGCAGCTCCTCACCGCGTTGTCAGGTTCACTAATCTGCCTCTTTTGGTTATTTGATGGATGTCAAATTTGCAATTGCAACCAATTAGAAGATGTCCCAAACAGCTCCTGCATGAGCTCTGCCAACGGGAGGCTCAGGCTAGCTTCTCCAGCTTCTCCAGGCCAGGCAGTGTCCTACTGACCAATGCTCTTCAGAGGCTACAGAAGTCTGTCCTGTCATCTACCTCCCAATTCTCAGCCAGCGTTTGGTGACCCAGTTGTGTGTAAAATCTGCATCCCCAAGCTGTGGACACAGGCCGCCTCCTTTGAGACAAATTCTCAAAGGGAATAAGTTGAACTATTAAACTGCCATCAGATGAACTAATCTCTGTCTTTCAGTTATTGTTTTTTTCCCCCTCAGTCTATAAATCAAAAGCAGAATCATTTGCCGACCTTCGTGTGGATATACGAGGACTAGGACAGCTTTCTCTGGCAGCATCTCACCAGGCTTTAAAATAAAAAACATCTCTGTTAGAATCAAACTATTACTGATCAAACCCAAACAGGGGGCTGTGCATCAGCTCAAAGTGACCACACCAGCCCTGCCTGTTGTTTGTGTCCTAAACAGAGATAAAGAAAAGACAAAAAAAAGCCAGGATAATAAAACTGACAAGAAACAGAGATTGTGTACACTTTTATTATTGTTATGGTTTCCCTGTGGGGTAAAAGCAGCTGGAGGAGCGTAATATCAGAAAACTGCTGCGGCTTTGGGAGGTCCAGAGAAGGTTCTGAGGTTGAGTTTAGGAGTTTAGGGCGAGCGTGTGGGCGCCGCCCGCTGCTACATAACACTGTCCGGGGGGTGACCGCCCCCCCCGGCTGCCCACAGCCAGTCTATCACCACACACGCCCTGAGGTAAGCTGGAGGTGCGAGTGTGCACGGGGCTGACTGAGCGTGTGGGCGGTGGCTGGAGACGCGGGTCTCCTGAAAGCGCTTCTTCCTGGCATAGCTTTGGCATGTTCACCACGGTGCAACGCAAGGCTCCTGAGGCTGAGGGCCGGCGGAGGGGGAGGGAATGGGGGGGGGGGCACGCCACGCAAAGTTTAAGTCCGCTTTTTATCCCCCCCGAGGCTCTACGTACTGCGGTTAAGTCTGAAGGAAAGCACCCAGAGAAGTGGATATTTTCATGGTTATATGCGGAGAAGCTGCCCGTCGTACAGGCTCGCTGTGAAGTGCAACAAACTCACATGAACTAAAGCTTTAGCTTATTCCAGTAAGAGAGAAGGTGCTTGCAGAGTTTCTGGAGATGGGAAGGGTGTTATGTTTGAACCTTTTCTTTCTAAATAAACAAAAACAAAACAAGCAGACGTATGACAGTATAAAGAAATACAAAGATCCACCCTTTTCCCCCCCTAGGCATGTTTGGCTAATATGTATATTAAACAAAAGGCATAAATGACATATTCTGTGCTGGATAAACACAATTACAACCAATGAAGCACATGTTAAGACACATAAGTAGCTTAATTCATCACTGTCCTCACCCTCCCTTTTTTTCTTCCTTTTTCTTTCCTGGGATTACCTGAGATTCCAGTAGTCCCTCGGGGCTTTGGGGCTTTGATGGCGAGAGCACGCGTCAATCGATCCGATCGATGGAAATAATCGAGCTTAAAGTCTTACCATCCGGGGGGGGTGATGGAGGCTGCGGAGGGCTTTAGCTTGGCTGCGCCTGACCCGCAGGCTAAGCACGTCCGTGTCCCCGCAGTCCACAGAAAACTTAGAAAAAAGCCGAACGAGGGCCAGTGCCAAAGGAAGCGGGAAAAGCTCAGCTTAAAATGGACGAGGTATCTTTTACATAAATCTCCCTCTATGTAATTTAGGCCTTTTAATACCTTCTGGAATGCACTATATATCTATATATTTATATGTATATATATATACTGTTATATATATCTATACATAAGATGTATATTGCTGTTAATATAAGCAGGATTACTGTTGATAAATACAGCGCCTTCCTTACCCTCCGCGGCGCCTCAGCACCCTCCTCCCTGTGATTTTGGGGTGGGGCAGGCCTGACAGGTCCTACATGGGTGGAGGCGGGGGCATTTATTCTTTTCCTATCTCACTGGATTAAAATTCCGCTACGCTGACTGAGAATGTCCCTCCAGTGGTCACTCCTCGTCCACGGGCTCCCTTCTGTCCTCCTCCTTCTGCTGGGCGGCCTGAGGGCTGGGGCTGGGCGGGGCTGTGGCCTCCGGGGGGGCCAGTGAGGAGGAATCCTGCTGCTCCACGGCCCTCTGGGAGGAGGCGTCCTCCTGTGCACAGCGTACATTTGAAGTGGGGGTTTTTTTTCCCCTGAGTCTAGCGTTTTTGGCTCGTCTGGGTCCGTTGGCTTACCGGCTCTGAGAATCGATGATTCACCTGATCTGCAAACTCCTGCATCTCCCCGTCCTCGCCGTTTGAGTGGCAGCTGGGACTCTGCACCTCGATCCCGTGGCTCTCCAGAATGGCAGCTTCTGTTTGGTTGTGTTTTTTTGGCCGGGACAGCAGATGTTAGGGGGTGGTGGTGATGGACACACACCGTACGGCTGCTTCTCTCTCTCTGGTTAGCGGGTCTCACCTATATTCGCCCTGCGCTTCATCTCCTTCCGGCGGTTTGCAAACCAGTTGTACACCTTTAGAGCTGTGACGCGCTCAAACTCGGACAGTTTGCATCCTGGAGGAGGAATCCAAAACAACACGGCGAGGGTCTCCATTAAGGTTCTGGAAGGATTCTGACTAATATAAGTAATCAGTCTACTTCCTGTTTACTACATGAAGTAAAGACACTGCATGAGAAATGAATGGATATGTTTCAAATCATACAAATACACAAAGCTACCCATATAACAACAACAATAATAGCCAGACTTCTTCCCACCTGGCTTCTGGATGACAGAGTTGCAGGCGTTTGCGATCTCCTCCCGCTTGGCCTCATCTGGGTACTGATTTTCCATAAAGAAACTGGAGGAGCGGAACACACAAGGTATTGATGACCGCCTATCCTGGGGTCAAATGCACATTATTCACACCTCATCGCCTTTCAGCCATTTTACCAAACCACACAGCGGAGCAGAACACCGAGAGGGGTCTCCTTTGGAAAGAAACTGGGTTTACTCAAACAACTGGAGACCTCCGTCTCGTCCTGTAAGTGCTACAGTCTGCCTGTAAACGCTGAAGAGTATTCATCATGAGGATAAATGTAGTCAGCTATTTTTCCTTTGTTTTTCTTCTAGAAAAAATAAAATAAAGAAAAGTGTCCTACTTGCGTCTTACTTTCCTGTCCCCGCACAGCGGAATCATTAACTCACATTACAAAACAGATAGGGATCAATTCCTCCCAGTCCTGTTGTTCTCCCACCCTCTGAGAGCCCTGCCTCACACACACACACACACACACGCACACACACTATCATCTTCACCTCTACTGTGTCGTCCTTGGGTTTAAACTAGCTCATAAGGATAGCACTGCAGAGGGATTGCGTAATGTGTTGTCTGTGTGGTCTTATTTCTCACAGCCCCAGACTCGCTACACTTACAGCGGGCCTGTAATGGAGAAATCAATCGCACACGGAGCGTGCCTTGCTGCTCCTTCTCAGCATCCCTCTGGGTTACTCAGAGAACTGACTGGGACAAATATGCTTCAAAGAAGCAGGGCAACAAAATGTTTAATGATGTGGGGGGAGAAAAAGAGAGAGGGGGAGAAAAAAGAAGTCCCCTGCAGCGGTTGGGCTGCTCGGGAGGAGCTTTTCAGTAGTTCACAGCCTGCTACAGTAACCCAACACAGGACTTCTTGGTTTTGAAAGCTGTAAAATCCATTTGGATGCCCATTTAATTCAGTAAGGGGTGGAGTGGGGGCTGGAGCCTACCTGTCTAGGGCGTACCAGTCCTCGAAAATCAGGATTTTCAAGTCATCACTTTTCAATTCTGAGCTCAGATAGTATCTATATATCTATATTTTTTTGCCTCGGTATAACCGAGTGGGTGGCTGGAAGGTGCTCACCTCTCCATGATGGACTGGCACTCCTTCCTCCAGGTGAACCTGCTCCCTCTGCGCAGCCTCAGGGGGCCGCCCACTATCCCCACCCTGTCGGCAGCCATGATCCCCGTCCTCCAGTCCGGCTCCTCCTTCACCAGGGAACGCATGGATAAGGTGGCGCCTGAGGAGGAGATTTGAAACCATTTCTGCTGTCAAGAGTTCATGAAATCCGAAACGGACGGGAGCTATGGCAAATCAGATGCCCCTTTTCAGCTGGACACAAAGAAGCAGCCATTCCCTCAGAACTGGCGTTGGGGGTGACTTAGATGGCTACAAGATGACCACTCCCCACGCGCCCAAAGACAGAAAAAGTGGCTCCCACAACCGGCCAGTTCAGCCTGTATGTGCAGATAACAGCCACATGTTCATGTCATAGCGTCCAGCTGTCCCATGCAGATGTGAAACAGTCCGGGCTATGAGCTACTCTTGGTGTTTTTGGTGCTGCTGTTGGTATTTTAGTTTATCGCCACTGTAGAAAGAACCAAAGTCAAATCGTACAAAGATCTGCTTTGAAACTAAATGTTAAAAGAGGGAATCTAATTCTGGGAGGCTGCCGTGCTTTTCCACCTCTGCTTATCGTGGGTTTGGTGCTTCATCCACTCTGTCATGAAGTCACTTCTTCAGTCCTGGCTCTAGTTGGTTTAAGCTACCCTTCAGCTAACAGTACTGTTGTGCTTTATGAAGAGTAACATTACATCTTGATAAGCTTTTTGGTCAAATAACTTATTTAGCTTATAAATAAGGGTCAACAATTGACTAAGCTAAAAAATAGCTCCAAGTCAACATTTGTGAAAACATAAAGACAAGAAAAACCTCCATATATCCATATATCATATATGACGGAGTATTACAGCCACATTAAAAAAAAAAGTTTTGTTGGAATTAATTACGAGATTAAAGTTGTCATTAAATATGGCGAGAATAAAACCCCTCTAAATGGCCCACATCCACGATAACCCTGCCCTCGGCCATTAACCCCTCCACAAAAGCAGCGAGTACCTACAAGTCCACCTGGTTCTTTCTGCGGAAAAAAGGCTTTTTCTTGCATGTTCTTTCTAAGGTATTGATACTTATGGTAATCTGATTCTCATGTGCCAAAACATTAGGTTTTGTGAAGCTTATTCCAAAGTACATTTCCATGAATTCCAACTTCTATCTTCCATCTTCTAAAACAGGATTTAATATTTACAACCTTATTTTCGTAATTTACTCTCGCCATATTTTATAACAACTTTAATCTCATAATTCCCAAGTTTAAAAAAAAAAAGGAAACTGGCCCTAATTCTCTGTTGTAAACATATTTATTCTCAAAAAAAAAAAAAAGTTTAATTTTAAAGCATTTTAAAATTACTTTAGTGGGAAAAAGACAATGCTGTAAAAAACAAAACAAAGTACAGGGAAGTTTTAACCACGGGGGAGACAGATACCATTAATCATGCATGTAAGCAGTCACTAAAAATCTAAAGCTCCTTGTCCAAGTACAGTCTAATCTCGATGTGTACAAATCATCTGTATCGACACATCAACTTGACAGTAGCCGACCACTGAGGATGAGAGGTACTGTGCGGAGAGGTACAGAATGAGTTATCAGAATATCAGATTGTTTTCCATTACTTCCTTGTATGGATTTCAGAACCAGTTTTATCCTGTTCAGAGTCATTGGGTACTTGCAACTCCTGGTATTATACTCTGTCAAAAAATAACAAAAAACAGGACTGTTGGACAGATGAAAAGAAGAAAAAACTATGAATTCATTAATTAAGCTATAAAAAAAGAAAAAGAGAAAGGGAAGAAAAAAACTCAACATGGATCCTCTTTAACTCAGAGCTGCCATGTGAAACTGTTGAAACACACCCCGGGAGAGAGCGACCCCATGCTGATCGATAAGCAGGCGTCCTCTGCAGCATGCGGCTGAGGCCGGAGGGGGGGGGGGGTTACCTGGCTGGGCCTGGGCGGCTGCGGCGGCCGCCGTGTACCACGGCAGCAAGTGCATCAGCAGCTCTCTCTGCCTGCTCCAGGACGGGTGGGGGGTCAGGCTGGTGTTTGGGTAAGGGAAGCTGCCACTGGCCCCCGCTACCGGCCCGTCTCTGTCCCCTCCCCTGGCCCTGGCCGGGGGACTCACGCTGTGCTGGCTTTCACTCCACCTCAGCCCTTCAGTCGGGACAAAACCAAGGGTCAGGCGGGCCGCGGGTCAGGGAGAGGTAAAGACACCAGTTCAGTTCTGGCAAATAGTGGGAGGCTGATGGCTCGCGTTTAACCTGCCGTGGCGTTTTTAAGGAGGGATTCATTCGCATGCCTGCTCGGGAATGTGTTTTAGTACGTTTCCAAATGAGAAAGCCGAGTCCGACTGACATCTGAGCCGATGGCCAGGTGGAAAAGAGGCAAAGCACGGCAGTCCGGTTTTGGGTTGGGAACATTGCAGGAAACCCCATTCTTGTTAGTATTTCTGTTAGAATCTCATAGCCATGTCGGGATGAAAACCAGCACCGGAGTACCTCCAGCATCAGAGCTAAGACCTCCAGAGGAGCTTAAGCAAGCTTATGCGGGTTGTACAAAGAAAGAGAGAAAGAATAAGATGAAGGGAGACAGCAGGTGCGTTGTTTGTTCCACCAGCTAATAAAGCCACTTGCTGGCATCATTCACGGCGGATGCATGCGGTCCCAAAACAGGCGGGGAAAGCTGGGAGCGTCTGCTGCCGTGGAGCCGGGTGTCTGGGGGGGGTTTGGGCAGCTGTGTTGCAGGACATGAAGAGGTCAGCACTGACCCCGGCAGACAAACCGCATTCCCCCACTACAGTTTCACCTCCTAACCAGAAAGCCTTATCGATCGCAATCTCCAGAGGCCGCAGCCCCTTTAGCATCTGTCCTCCTCCTGGAACTATAGATCTGTCTCCAGTCCCCTTCCTTGACCTCGCGGCCCTTGAGGACCGGCTTGGGAGTTGCGAGCGCTAAGGAACGAGAGGGGTGTGCGGGTTTACCATGCGGGACGGGGGGGCGGGGAGCAAGCGGTGGTTCACATTCAGGAAACGACACATATCACCCCCGTTGATTAGCCCTCCATTATCTCATCTGTGATCAATCATCATTAACCTAACATTCCACCTTGGGGCTTTGGTCTGCGCCAGGGGGAATTATTCCCCCCGTATCTGGTGCGCATGGGAGAGGGGGGGGGGGGTTCGGGGCTCGGCTGTGTCTCACCTGGGTTGTTCCTCTCCAGCAGGTACCAGCGGTAGAAGGCTCTGCGTTTGGAGTCGCTCATCTCCAGCCCCTGCTGCAGCAGCCACTGGGAGATGTAGCTCTGGCTGATGCCTGCGCACAGGAGGCCACACGCTGTTACGGCGCCCGTTCCTGCCCACGGCGCCCCGGCAGCCAGCGCGCTGTCCAGGGCCGCCGCGCTCCAGCTCTGAAACACCCCGTTAAGCTAATGGAGCCATTCCGGCATCCATACCTTTATTAAGGACATGTGACTCAGTGCTTTGCATTAGTCTATCATAAACTTGTATAGCACTAGTCTTTTAAAGCATTACTAACACTAACACACACACACACACACACATTACCTATTGGCTACAGTCTAAATCCAATGCTTTATTCATATATATACAAAATGCCCTATAAAGAGGAGAGTTGAAGCAAACCTGAACAACATGTGACAGATCAGACCAGGGTCAGAACCTGGCCCACTCGGTTTGGTAGTCTGAAGACCTGAGATGCCGTTTGCTAACCTGTAGAGGTTAGTGTGCAGCTATCGGAGGACTGCGGCAACAGTAGCTTTTTTTTATATATGTAAGCAGATGTCTTTCCTCCTGAGCCTGTTAAACCACAGAGCCCTGAGGCCAGCGAACTGACTTCTGCTTTTCAAGAGGAGCTCTCGCATGAGGATCGGCTAATCGGGTGCATTTCATTTGCAGCGCCTGGAGCCGTTTAGGATATAAATTCCTTTGGAAAGCAGTGCGTTTCACTTGCTTTTTCTACACACCACTTCTTCATTCCACCTTAGGTTTTGTTTGAAAAAATGGCAACAGTGCACAATGCAGACAGCTAACACGGGCAATCAGAATACATGTCAGAGATATCGCAAGTCTTCTTGACGGAATTTAGGCGAGCGTGACCAATTCAGAGAGTTAATCGTCCCAAACATAAAAAAATCAGGAATATTGAGTGCAAGTATGCAGGTGTGATGGCACAAAAATAAAGAAATAAGGCCAAGTCCCGTACAGCTTTCACACCCCGCAGACAGAATCACACACACCTCCATCTACTGGCAGCCATCCTGTGGACGGTTTAACACCAGGAAGGGCTGTTTAACACCATGACGGGTGTCGTGTTGATCCTCGCTTCAAAACTAATGGCTTTACAACGATCAGCGACTTTCAACTATATGACAAAGTGATGATTCTGTTTGTCAAAGCAGAGAAAAGGCAGCTTATTATCACCATCAGTGAGTAGGAATGTCTATTTTAGCTGCCCTTTGAACATCAGGGGGAGTGACATGTGTTAAAACCCAAGATTTCTGTGACAGCTGTTTCTTCTCATATTGCAACATTTTCACATAAATACAAGTGAAAAATATCTTCATTTAAACCACAAAAAAAGCAGCACGGGCTCAAAAGATAGATATCCACCTACAGCTCCCAGTGTTATTCACCTTCAGCTTTTTTCTGTTGGGAAAAACCTAAACAGATCCCCTGGAGCTGACTGTGCAATAAACAGAGAGTTGTACAGACTGATCAATGTAACAGACAACCTGCACACCTCCACACAACAGAAGCTGAGCAACAGGGTGTTCAGGCAGAGGCTGCTTCAACTCCACCCTCACAAACAACAGTAAATGGGGTCAGTACAAACCAAAGACTTTGACAAATATAAGTAAATGATCTCCATGCTGATTGTATTATGATTGTATTAATACAAAAAGGACATAATTAAAACAATCATCCAATTCAGCTTGTTCTTCTGATTTGGCAGAAGTGGTGGATTCCAGGTATGCACTGCTTAGCGAGAACATGTTAACAAATCAGGTCCGCCTGAATCCTGCCTAAAGGTCTAAATGTAACTTAGTGGCAAAGATTCTCTGTCCATCATCCAACACTTTCAAACACAAAAGAGGAAAAAGAGTACCTGTGACCTGGCCTACGATTGCCTGAGAGATCCTGCGGTTGTTGAGGAAAGTTTTGATCTCCTCCTTAACCAGGTTGCTGTCTCTCCTGGAAAAACACATAATAGGCCCAGATTGGCATTAGAACCATTGCACGGTGGTTAAAACACCATTCTCTGCTCTGACTAACCTTATTCACTGATGCTTCTCTTTTCTCAGCCATCCCCAAACGCCTGACCTGAATTAACTCGACTACAATTCTGGAGAATAAGCCTGCAGCTCTGGGGACGGCAGCTGTCATTATCTGATGTAATAATAGTCTCTCCTCCTGTCGCCTTCTCCTCTGCTCGCGCTTTCCACGCTAATGCGCTTCCCCGCTCACGCCCAACGCGCCACCAGGCCCTCCCCTCACCTCATGTACTCCTCCACCTTCTCCTCCAGGTCCCAGTCCTCCTCCGCCATCATGTCGTAGCTGAAGGACCGCTGGACCGCCACGCTCGGGGGGTAGAGGGGCGGGGGCGAGGCCTCGAAGCTGTTGCTGGGCGACAGCGCGGCGCCGTCCAGGCCGGAGGTCTGCGTGGTGGCGGAGGCCAGGGACAGCGAGGAGGAGGAGGAGGAGGAGGAGGAGGAGGGGGCCGGGGCGGCCGGGGCCGGGGCGGTGTTGGACGGGGCGGGCTGGGAGTCGCAGTGAGTGGGCCGGTGCTCCGGGTCCAGCCGGTCCAGGGACTCCAGGGCGTGGAGGATCTGGGGTTTGGTCATCCCAGAGAGCCGCAGCCGCTGCAGGAGGTCGATCTGCTCGATGGTGTAGCGCGGCTCCCCTTCACAACACTCCATCCTCGGATCTGCGGAAAAAAAAAAACGGCAAATGAAACAGAAAAAAGCTGCTCGGCTGAGCTGATTTCCCACCAGATAATCACGGCCGCTAGACTTCACAAAGTCTAACCAAGACGTGCGCTGCTATATTTATCTCAACTCAATATTAAATTTAGATAACACTGTGCAGGCTTTCTTGGGACGAGCAGACAACCTGATAAATGATAAAAAGGATTATTAATAGATGAGATGCGTTCTAAAAACGCTGGGCTCAACAGCACTCAAACACCACAAGCTCTTTGTAGATTTCCACTTTTCTGCTATGTAAATGTGACTGTATTGCTTTGTGGCATTAATAACACACATCTCCCTGTAAACAACAAACAGAAAAACTGCACTGAGGTGGTGAAAACGGGCCGCATTCTCCTCTGAGGAACCTGTGGGTCATTTGAAGTTCTGGCAACCTTTCAAACACTTGGCACAGACTCTTGGGGCTAACCTTGGTCTATTTGTCCAGGGTGGAATTAGAGTAAGATCACCCTAGTGTCCAACCTAACATCAGGTCCCACTGGCTAGCTGTCCTTTTTTAATTCTTCTTCTTGGCTGTCCAGCAAATTTGCACTGAGTGGGAATTACATTAGACATCATTTATCATTCAATACAGAACTTCACAAGAAATCACCACAAACAGACAAAACAAGCACCCAGTCATCAATTTTGCATAGGAATAATTACACAACTTTTCAGACGTTATTTAATATCATGACCAAAAGATAAAAAGAGAATCTATAACAACATTGCAATAAGCAGGGAGCCAATTCGTATTTTGGAGGAAAAAAAGTTATCATCAATTCTTCCCTATGCCGAATTGAGCAAAAAATACAAACGTTAAAAAGTCTGTACATTAGACACGTATTTCTGTTCCTAACCAAATCAAAAGTTAAAGTTCCTTGATAACTACACTGCAAATCGGTTTCCAGAGGGACGTTAGGGTCAGCTTGCAGTGGTCCAGGTCGGCTACTTTCATCTCACTGACACCGTCACCGGTGCCTCCCCGCGAGGCTTAAAGTTCAAAGCCCCGCCGCGAGCTGGCTCTGGGGGAAAGCGGGGAGAATGTGGACTCACCTGATGGAGGGGGGGACAAGGAGAGGCGCCCCGGGAGGGGTTCGGCGCGTGGGGTCGCAGCAGGGACACACCACTGTCGCATGTCTCGGGCCGGGTTGAGCTCAGCTGGAGTCAGACAGAGACTTACTGCAGTGTGCTGCGGTTAAACTGCCCCCGTTAGCATGCTGGCGAAGCCTCGGCGGCGGATGACTCGTTAGCGGGCTACGTTAGCTAAGCTAGCGACGTCCACTCCGGCTGCTCCCCCCGCCGAGCGAAGCCTCCCGTCCATGTAGCTGCCCTCCCGTCTAGTTAGCCGGCGAGAAACTACACAGCGGAAGTAATGTGCGCGATATTTCAAAATAAATATGCGTTCTTCAAGTTTACTTTTTTTTTTCTAAATAAAAAATAAAACAGGTATTTGCTCATTAGACAAAGTTGTATGGATACGATTATTTTCTATCGTAAATTGTCCCGTGTTACTTGATAGAGAACTGCACATAATAAATAAATAAAAAATATAAAATATTTTTTTTGGGGGGAAGCCGAGCCTAAAGAAAATAATTAGCTATTTCAAATGTTAAGCGTTCTGATATTAAAAATGACATCGGCACGATGCGCTTTTGCCTTTGAAAGACAAATTAAATTGAACAAAATAAATATGTATCATAATTAGGCCAACTTTACAATTCCTGATATGGCTAGTTTACTAAAACTTACACTTAGTGGTCTAAGTGTTACAACAACCACATTTCAAATGGGATGCACATTTATTAATCTATCTATGATTCACTTCCATTAGGTCGCAGATGAACGTTTTTAGTCGCGCGACGTCGACGACCCGGGACGCAGGCGGCTTCCAACCGCTTAGCCCACTAGCTAGCTAACGTAGCCCGCGGCTAGCACCGGCTCGTCCCGCCGAGGCTCCTCTTACCTCCCGCTGCTGAACAGACAGCCACAGACCACTGAGCGGACCGGGGAGGTGGTCAAACTGTCCGAAAAAGTGACCGTGCACCCCACCCTGCTGAAGAAAGTATTCCCCCTGTCCGAGGCTGCGCAGGGGAGAGTGGAGTGGGATGGGGGCGGGGGGGGGTCGAACAATGCAGGACGATAATATCTTAGAGCTATGCAGTGGGGAAATAGTGTATGCAAAAATATGTGGAGTCTGGTACAGTTTACGACCCCTCCGCTGACGCCACGACAGGCGGCTGGAATTCTGATTTCCGGTTGAACGGTGCCGAATTAAAACAGCGAAAAACGCTCATTAAGAGTAGGTCTGGAAAGGTCCGCTTTAACAGTTAAAATCACCGCTAATTTAAGTTTTTGGGAGAAAAAAAACAACTCGTTTGAGTTTTGGCTTCGGTCCTTAAATTGTGTCCTTGAACACATTTTTTTTATTTTTTTAATGTATTTAAATTTATTTAAATTCTTTTTTTATTATTTAAAAGACAGAAGACGCATGAAGAAAGTTTGATGACAGTTTTTCTGTCATCAGATCAGACTTTCAACCGAACTAAATGATTTGGAGGAGCTCCATGGGACAGGGTGTCAAGCAGAAATTTAAGTTTTTTCCAAGCCTCTTGCCTTAATGGCAGGAGTTATGTAAAAACCGATTGATTAGGATTAGGCAAAACATGATTTTTGACAAAAGAGAATTATTTTTATCTTGTCCTGATGCATTGGCTCACCTGAGTAATTTATATCTTTATTTATAATCCAGTTTTACACACACACACACACACATCATATATATATATATATATATATATATATATATATATATATGAAGACTACTTCTGAACATATAACACCATCTGTGATTTAAGCCCGAAGGAATGCTTTGAACAGGCTGATGTAGTTATTCTCAATTTGTCTTAAGATGTTGTGCAATAACAGGTTAATTGGCAGGCCACCTTACTTTTAAAGGTTGGATCATTTAAAGGAAATCCAGTGTTAAGATGTTGTAAAATAGAAAATTATGTGTTTTGGATGTTTCTGGACAAAACATGTCCTTTCAATAAAGTGGTATTTTTTATGGTATCCTCCTATTTGAAATGACTGTTTCATATGTAGATAATAATGATGATAATTATACAATTTTTTTTATTTATAAAGCGTTTTACACAATCAAAATATTATGTTGCTACAATCAGTAAAGTAAATAGAACAAACAAGAGAGAAGAACCATGAAATACAGATGAAAGATTTTAAAAAAGACGGAACGGTTAATGTTAGGAGTCATATTACCTTGCAATATTTAGTAACATTAGTATTTCTTTAAGATTTCTTTAAGATTGTTCCTTATGTTAAGGAGCAATCTCCCACCGTGTTTCTAATCTCTCAGAGGAGGTGTTTGTTATCGAGGCCTCCAATAGTCATTGCGACTGAAAAAGGAGTTTCTATTTACTCTGTTCAACACCCCTCCTCTTTTCACCTGGTGCCAAGAAGGGAGCAGTATTAGGTAGACTATTAAAGAGCCTTTATGCTTGGCATGCTCGCCTCCTCAGAGACAACCCAAGCCAGATATATTTAAGATCCAGCAGCATTTGGGTGCTCTGTCCCCTAGTGACTCTTTAAAACGACGCCATGAACTGGGCTTTCCTGCAGGGGCTCCTCAGCGGGGTCAACAAGTATTCCACCGCGTTTGGCCGTGTCTGGCTGGCCATCGTTTTCATCTTCCGGCTGCTGGTCGTTCTTGTGGCCTGCGAGAAGGTGTGGGCGGACGAGCAGAAGGACTTTGACTGCAACACCCTCCAGCCCGGCTGCCACAACGTCTGCTACGACCATTACTTCCCCATCTCCTACACCAGACTCTGGGCCCTCCAGCTGATCTTCGTCACCTGCCCCTCCCTTATGGTGACCCTTCACGTGTCCTACAGGAAGGAGAGGGAACGAAAGCATCGGCTGAGGCACGGAGAGGACTTCACGCCGCTGTATAACAACACTGGGAAGAAACGGGGGGGTCTATGGTGGACCTACCTCTTCAGTTTGATGTTCAAGATCACAGTAGATGGCGTGTTTGTCTTCCTGCTGTACTACATCTACGAGGCAGCTTTCTTCCCTGCATCAGTCAAATGCAGAGAGGAGCCATGTCCCAACGTCGTGGACTGCTACATTGCAAGGTAAGCTTTCAGAGTACTGAATGGGGATAGCACAGTTTTGTCTTTAATTGTGTTTTTCTCAGGCCAACGGAGAAGAAAATCTTCACTGTCTTCATGGTGGTGACCAGCTTCGCGTGCATGTTCCTCACTTTTTGCGAGGTGCTCTACCTGTGTGGGAAAAGAGTCGCAGAGCGCTGCAGAGGGGGACGCCGGCCCATGAGGGAAAGCTCCATCATGATGACCAGAGACCCCCTGACTGGAATGGAAAATTCTGTGTCCAGCAAGATCATCGTTAGTAACGGAGGGAAGGGCCGACCGAGCTCAGCCCCCCCGTATGACACGGTCAGCCAATGAGCAAATCTCTTATGAAGCACTGGCCACCTGTTTAGGTGGGATGCCACCTCTCACCCAGTGGCTGCAAATGTATGCTCCAGCCACCCCCCCCCCCCCCCCCACCCCCCGAACCTGGTAGGAATAATCGGTATAGCCAATGGACAGACGGAGTTACATTTCAAAGATCTACAGTTGCACAAAGTTCATATATGTTGTTATCCCGTTGTTGAAACCTGCACCAGGCTAACCTAAAATAAAGTTTTTATTTTAAAAATCACTAACCGTTTCCATGAATATATATGTGATTCTTTCAAACATAAAGTAAGAATGCTGGACCGGATTCAAGCATGGCATTTAGACAAATTAATTTAATCAAGAACCATAAACAGGCGTTTTCAAGAATTAACCTTCTTGTGCAGTTAAACTGGCAATTTCATTAGACGTGTCTTCACAAACTAATGATTCGTGAATCGTAGAGTTAATTTAAAAAAGGATGCTTTGTGGAAATGAGACTTTATGAGGGAGTGCAAAACCGAATGAAGGAATATTCAATCTGTGAGGTGAAAGGCTAACGACGTGTGACATAACGACAAGGATCTTGATTTTGGCATTATCACAGGAGCTTTACAGGAAATACCACTCCTCTGTGAGATTGCAGACCACCTAAAAAGCGATTAACTACATCCTGTCTTCCCCCTGATTAGGCATTTCTAAAGGACGATATCATAAAACAGATTTTCTACACAGACGGGGACCATTGCACCAGCTTCAGAAATTGATAGTAAGCCTTTGTATGAAATCAATTCTCCATATCTGAGCTGCATATTAGTTCCACTGTGCTAGTGCAAACAAATTATAGGCGTTTTCCCTTTAAATACCAATCAAGCAAAGACTGAAATGGACAGATGTTATCTCCCGATCTAAGTTTCGCAATAGCACTGATAAGGAACACACTGATTGGAGTAGACAAACATATTTCTAAAAGATCGGTTAAGGCTGATACCACACAGACTTGACTAATTTGCACCACTATTAAATAAATTTCCTCCACACGCTATTATGCGTAGTCAGTTTTAAGACATTTTGTGGCTTTTGAGGATGAGAGTTATTCCTCACTGCTCTGCTGCAATAGAAACACTGATTAGGAATAAAATGTGACATATGTGACATTGTGTTTTAAGGTGGGGAGCTTATCATAAGTAGCTGAATTTTTAAAAGCGCCCACTGGGTGTGTCCAAATAAAGATGGACACACCTCCAGAAGAATGTCCTATCCCGTAAATATGAGACATGACACCAAAAGAAAAGTTCGAGGTTGACCCAAGCTACCCATTGAACCTATTCCAACAGTAAGTCTGTCTCTCAGACGAGGAACATGACAGACTGAGTTGAAGACCAGCGATTACAACTGTGGGTATGGTTTGAATGTTAGATTTTTCAACTTTTCTAAAGTTCAGACTTTAGGGACCAAACTCTGTGTACTCTGGATTAGTTTTTTGTGTGTGCGTGTGTTGGTTAAACAAGCACGTTTCATAAATAATAAAGCGTGTTTCTTCTAAATGTCAAACTGTGCGTTTGAAAAAAACACAACTGTCAGAAGGAATTTGATCAAAAAGGAGAGAGACTTTTCACAGATTCTACTTTATCCTGTACAAACTTGACTTTGTCTCTTTATTTTCTTCTAGGTTCCCAGTTTCTAAACAGTCGCCAGTGAACAAAGCTTGAAAGTGAGGCTCATGGATTGGAAGTTTCTTGAGGGTCTTCTAAGTGGAGTCAATAAGTACTCCACTGGCTTCGGGCGGATCTGGCTGTCGGTGGTCTTTGTCTTTCGGGTGTTGGTCTTTGTGGTCGCCGCTGAGCGGGTCTGGAGCGATGACCAGGGGGACTTTGAATGCAACACCCGCCAACCAGGCTGCACCAACATCTGCTATGACCACCACTTCCCCATCTCTCACACTCGCCTCTGGGCCCTTCAGCTCATCTTCGTCACCTGCCCTTCCTTCATGGTGGTACTGCACGTGGCCTATCGGGAGAAGCGGGAGCACAAGCACCGCGAGAAGCACGGCAAGAGCGCCCAACTCTACCCCAACCCCGGCCAGAAGCACGGCGGCCTCTGGTGGACCTACCTGTTGAGTCTCTTCGCCAAAACCAGCTTTGAGATCGCTTTTCTCTACCTGCTCAACCGTGTCTACGACAGCTTCAAGCTTCCCAGGAGAGTCCAGTGTGACTCCAGCCCCTGTCCAAACCGGGTGGACTGCTACGTATCCCGCCCCACGGAGAAGACGGTTTTCTCTTACTTTATGGTGGGTGCGTCTGTCCTGTGTGTGGTGCTCAACATTTGTGAAATCTTCTATCTGATAGCAACCAGGTTGATAAATCTCAAGCGTAAAGGCAGCATCCACACCATCAGGTCTAGAAAGGGCAAAAATGACATGAAAGGTGGTGGCTACCAGTACTCAGTTGGGTCATAGAGCGAGAACTCCTTTGGAGGAGCTTTTGTCTTTGATTGCATCACTGAAATAAATGTTTTCTTTAGATTAAATGTTAGGCCTGACAATGTCTTTCTTCTATCAATCTAATTATCTCTGTCCATATTAAGAGAGAAAGCTTGAATCATTCCATCTTAAATCCTCTCTAACAGTGAGACGGTTACAGCCTAACATGGACTTCAACTGAACTTTATGCAGGAGACAGCCGTACTCTGAGGATATTTAAACTTATAAAGTACAATGATCTCAATATGATTCAAATGCTCATTGTTGTTGTTAGGCCTGTATATCAGCAATCTCCGAATTGTAATATAATCACACTGAATGTATCAATCCTGTTTAAAAAAGTTAGGCAACATACATACATTTCCAACTGCAATGTAACAACCGGCAAAACCAAATCTTTGTTTTTGTTTCTCCAGCAGGCCCCGAAATAAAAATATTTGTCACATTATCTTTCATTAAATGTTCTGAAGAAAAAAAGTGGCTCTCCTTTTAATCAATGGCATAGTTTCTCCACTTGGTGGCACAAAAGTCACATGTGGCCCTCAGGAATGATCCCACACTTTGAATAATTCCCCACTGATTTGTGAGTAGGTTTACAATTCAGATTTCTAATAATACTAAAATTCAGTTTCAGTTAATTGCAACCATTACGAAGATTCTGAGCAAAAGCTGTCTTTCTGGACCAAACTTACTTCAGCAACACTTTCTCAGGCTTTTGAATTTTTTTTGGAAACAAGTAACTTCATTTCCAGTATTTGTCCTTGTTTTTCAGCCTTATAAGACAGACCTATGAACTGTTTGCACGTATGGAACTAGTCCTGCCAACACATCAGAAAGCTAAGCAAAAACATATTTAAAAATGAGGTCACTCTTTCACTTGCAGGAGTTTGCAAAAGTATTTAATTTATAATAGAGTCTATAGTTTATCAAATATTCAAAAGTTGCCAAACATGAAATACGACTTCTTTCTGCATCAAAAGAAGGATTTCAGTGGAGTTATTAGCTGAAAACTAAGCCTTTTTGAGCACGATATGTCCCAGAGTCTAAACTCAGGGCAAACAGTGTCATTTGGACAGATAATGGAAAAGAAGGCATTAACCAATGAAGAGCTGTAGGATGATACACACACACACACACACACACACACACACGCACACACACACACACACACACACACACACACACAGCCTGGTGGAGCATTCAGACTCACTACAGGACCGGGACAAGAGGAATTGGCCCTGTTGTGGAATAATATTTTAATGTTGAGTATTGATTTGAACGTTTCTTGACTCAGTAGCCTGAGGGGCTAGTTTAGGCCGAATTAAACGACTTAGCCAGTTAAATGTGGAATAACTCAAATTTTAGGAATACATTCTTGCGGTTTAAATTGATGTCTGGAGTAATTTCCAAAGACAGAAAGATGCTTGTTGGTGTACCTGTAGTCATTCCTGTCATGGTGCTGATGGTTATCACAAGCTAGCAAGCTAATTAGCCGGGGGACCTTCAAAATAAGAGCACAAAATAGTTCCCCGGAAAATAAAAAACTTAAAAAATTCTGCGACCTCATAGAAAACAGCGGCACAGTCATTTAAACCCACCTCTTACGAATCTGGAACTTAATTACCGAATAACTCAAAGTTTGCTGTGCTTTCCTACGGTTCATTTTATTTTGAAAATACTGCAGCCGAGTAATCAAATCTTGTCTGTCCTGCTTCACTTAAACTGGCTGATGTGCTCAGTTTAAAGAGAGCTGTCAACGCACAGCCAGAACAACACAGGAAAAGACGCAGTTCCTGTCTGAATGGTGACCTGAGACAAATGGCCAGATCAGGTAATTATGTGAGTCCCTGGGGTTTGCACAGGCAGTGTGTGTTTGATCAGAATGCTCACCATGTTTGTTTGGGTGTGGTGCTGGGGTGGCACAGGTGAGATTCGGTGAAGGAAACCTTTCTAAACATAAATAAAATGAAATAAAAAAGCAGGGTGTGTACTGATGTAGCTCTACTGACCCGGTGTGTGTCCCGGTAGAACTGTGGTTCTTGATGACATGTCATGGTTTCAGTGTGTTGCTGAAGGAACCTGACAACCTGCAGTTGTCAACTCCTCGTGTGACATGTATCGGATCATGCAGGAATGTGGTTGTGAAAATTCCCAACATGTTTGTGGATGTGGTTCAGGGTTCAAACGGGGGCTTGTTGCACTTATCCATGAAAGCAGAAGCTTTTGGGGTTCAAATCCTCACCATTCATCCTGTGCAGGAAAACCCTCTGAATACTGCTGGGCTTTCCTCTTGTAAATGGATTTAATGATGCATTTGGATTTATTTGAAGTCACCTCTGGCACACTTATTTTGGAAAGGCCTATGTGCTCAGCAGCCAATCATTAACGCGGGCGCCCCCCGCCGTGCCTCTGACCCGCCGCCCGCGCACGTGATCCATACAGCCCCGCTGGTGATGTAACATCATCTGTGATGGCTCTTTGACCCAGCCTGTCCCCCCCCAGGTGTGTGTTGCGGCGGCCTGCAGGAGCCCCCCGCCCTGATGAAGATGGGGCTGGGCCTGATCGTGCTGGGCCACCTCAACTTCCTGCTGGGCGCGCTGGTGCACGGCGTGGTGCTGCGGCGGGGGGGCCCGCCGCCGCAGGCCCGGGCCCCCGACTACGCCGTGGCCAACGTGGTGGCGCTGGCCTCAGGGATGGTGGTGAGGGCCCAGCAGACCGTCAGGGGGGGGGGGTCTCCCCGGAGGCTCTGGGGGGGAATGATGTCACCCTTTCTTTTTATTTTTCTTTAAACAGTTCAGACCCAGGCTCCATTTAGTGATTTTCAGGTTTGCTCACCCCAGATACATTCTCCTTTCTTGATGCCATTATCCTTTGGATGATTAAAACAACACAAAAAGTCAATTTATTGAAGATTATTAGACCCCCCTCACTGTTGTTTTATCTCATTTTAGAGTATTTCATAGGAAAATAAACAGAGCAATAGAAGGTTTATTGTAGCTTGATGGGAATATTAGACTGGATGGAAGGAGGCTTTCAAGTACACAGGGGCTGTGTTCTTCAAATATTTTTTTTTTTAAAAGTGCCTTATCTCTTAGGGAAAATTTGGGGAAATTTGTTAGCAAAGCCAAATCATCTCTAGCAGAACCAGAGTGACCGGGTGAAGCCAGAAACATTTTATGTCACATAAGCAATGCTTTTGTTGGAATGGTGGGGGAGGCAGAAAACAGCATTTTCCGTTTTTTTGTGTTTGTGTGTGTGTATAATTTTCAGTTCGACTCATCTGTTTTCTTTTTACAGGGTGCTGTTGTTGGCATTCTTGCTATCATCCTCTCAAAAAACAAGAAGAGCAGAGGCCTGGTTAGTAACACATTGATTTTTATTTGATTATTAAATATTTGGAGCTCTTTCTCTCTCTCTTGTGTCCCATCCCAATTTCCATAATGCTCTACTTAGTTTTACCTGTCGGCCTCCGGTGCTCACTTTGATATCTGGCAGCTCTCTTTCTGTCTGAGTCGTGACGCTAAAGAGAAGCTGCTTCAGATGTTTGAGTCCTGCAGAGCAGGAATGGTTTGTGTCTTTTCTTTTTTTCCCTGCCTGCTCCTCTGTTGACACACAGCTGCGGAGCTGCTCAGACTCGACTGGCAGGGCAGCCTGAGCTTTAAAACCACTCCCTGTTTATTCATCAGGAGTCTTCGTTGAGAGGGCAGGGCTAAAAATCAGTTGACTGACTCCTCAACCGTTCTCTTTCCTATTCATTCATTCAGCATTTCAACTTGAGTCAAAACACTCCTTTTTTTGTTTGTTTGTCTTCAGCGCGACATCATGCCAGAGTGATCGTATCTATACTTCTATCCATAACAACAGCATATAGGTGATGACAATCTGTGAAGAAAAGTGAAAAGTTGCTTCAGAAATGAGTCATTGAACTGGAATGAATTGATTGACTCAAAAGAAAACCTTTTTAAAAGTTATTTCTACATTCAATTCAGTTTTATTTAAATAAAAACATTTCTTAAAAAAAGATACAGAGAAGTTGGACGGTATGAGGGGACAGAAAAGCACCCTAACAGCCACTTGCACAGATGAGAAACAAAAGTTAACAGCAATAATGTTGCATGCTGCGGAACAGAGCGATGCATCATGGGAGTTTGAAGCCTACTTTGTATTTGTCATCCCAGCAAATCTTTTCAATGACAATCTATGGCTTTGACTCATATCAATTCAATTATTTAAAAAAATACAATAAAGCTTTGTTCCTATTTAAGAAGAACAAAACTTTAAAGGTGGATTTCTGACCTGTAGAGGGAACGCTGATTCTAGGGGCTTAACGGGGTTTATGAAGCTACCCCGGTCCTGCTTAGAGCTCCAGTAATCATGTGATCTCAGTGAATCTATGGTTGTCAGTACAGATAAGGCTGTGTGTGTGAAGTGTTTACTGCTGACTATCAGTTCATCTGTCCGCCCCGTTTCCCCTCCAGTGAGAGAAGAAAAAACAAGACTTTCCCTTTTTGCTTTGCGTTCCTCCTCTCCTGTCCAGACCTGGTCCCTGTTGGCGGTCAGCCTGCTGTCGGCCCTCATGGCGGCCGCCTCGGCCCTGGGCCTCCTGGTGTCGGTGGTGATGGCCGTGGTTCAGGGTGGGCGGAGCCTCCTGAGCCACTGCCGCTTTCCCGACGCCATCGGCTACTCCAGCGTCACCACCGAGTGTCCGTTTGACCCCACGCGCATCTACGTGAGTGTCTGAGCCAGCTGCAGAATGAAAGAGCTCACCCAGTGCTCTGTCATTTGGCCCCGCTTAAGGGTTTGGCATCTTGTTGAATACTATAAAAACATCCAGTATTTTTCTCAGGTTTACATTGAAGCATTGTTGCTTGGAACGTGCTCTTTCAGCCTTTGTTTCTTAAACGGAGTTTAGTATTGAATTCTTCAGTCTTCATTGCTCCACTACCAGACGTTTGAAGACCCTAACCTTACGGGGAAATCTTTTTAGTCTAAAATCGGGAAATGTGGAAGCAGGGAAACGTCTCAAACCTGCAGGGCAGCGGCCCTCCAGGACCAGGGTTGGAGACACCTGCTTAGACCTGGGCCCAAATGGCCCCAGTCTGCTTTTACTGCTCAGTTGATCGGTCAAAAATAGCCAGGTGTGAGGCAACTTGTCACTCTTTATCTTTGTGGTTTGTCAAATTGGCCACATGAAGGCTTTATTGATGGTATTTCATGGAGAGGGTAGGACTGGAGGAGGAGTGATGAGGAACTGCAGGCAGCTTTGGACAGTGTGTTGGTGGTGTGTGTTGGTGGTGTGTGTTGGTGGTGTGTGTTG